ACACACACACACACACACACATTTTTTTAATGCGGATTTGGTTGCATTTAAAAATGTATATATCTGTAACCGTACTTGTCTTAATTCTTGCCTTAATGTGAGTTCCTTAGTCTTCATTTTGAAGAGAGGTGTTTCAGACTGTGGGAGCCTTTCAGAACAGGTGGACATATTCTGAAATTAAGTGGCGCTTAGATTACACACAGGTGGACATAATTGTGCTAATTGTGACTGCTGAAGGTATTTGCCGCAATTAAAGGTTTTACAGCAATTTTAAAAGACTTATTTTTTTCTTCACATTTTAAAATTGTATTTCTAAAGTCACATTAAACGTTCGTGTATCAAAGAGCAGATGGTCAATAAAAGACCAAACACGTCTTGTCCCATGAGTTATGGTCGAAAATTAGTAAGCGGGAGCTCCTGTCATAGTACAGCACATTGTGATGCAAATACAAAGTGAAAAGCATAAAAGCTGTTTGCTCGTCCAACAGTTGGAGACGATTTGGCCGAAAAAAAAAGACTTTACTGCGTTCACACCTCCTGATTCTTTCCCTTCACATCATATTACTGAAACGCTTTGAGAGGGAAGAAGAAACAAGATGGAAATGTGGACATAATCAATGGACATTTCAAAATAGCAGAGCTCTTGGGTAACACGTACGGTGGAACACCGGTGTGTTTAGGTGCAGCTTTGCTCCGGTAAACACACTTCAAGACTCAAATGGCTTATTTGCACGGCTCCTAATCGGCCCCAACTCTGCTCAGCTCAGCCTGGATTTGCACCTGCACTTTAGGACCGATTCTGGAGGCGTGTCCAGAATCCAAAGTCCTGCTAATGAGAGTTCTGTGATGTTAAACTCAAAGCAGTCTGCTCCTCAGATAAATAATGTTAAATTATTAATTTTAAATATGAATGTTTCTGTTAACTTACTTTATATACAAAATTTTCTGTTAATTTGCCCTGAGACGACTTCTGTTGTGACTTGGCGCTATATAAATAAACTGAACTGAATTATATCTGATGAACCAGATCCTACAAAAACATATATATTTAAAATTCTATATTTTTCTTCATCATTTGATGTATTTGCACTCATTTTGGTTTGGTTTCTTGTATACAGATTATTATTTTTTTGTATACAGATTATTATTAGCTTTGATTTAAAGCTTTAATTTAAAGTGTAATGCTTGTTTTGTGATTTGTACATCTGTGGGTTAGAATAAAGTTGAACCAAAGGCTCATCTTTAAACATGTTTGAGGGAAATATTCCTGAGAGATCCAATAGTTTTGTCTTTTTATGATTTTTCAGCTGAGTTAACTTTAATTAACAGATTATTTAATAAAGTCGAAGTGAAAACAGGATTTCATGATAAAGCCGTCACTGTTTATTTTTATTCTTAACTGATAAAAAAAAAAAAAAAAACTTTTTTTTATACACAAAATGTTTTTAAAAAAACGTTTCCACCCTTCGTCCCGGTCCTCCCGCCTGCCAGGGCTTGGAATTTGGCCTTTGTGAGCACGCCAGGCCGGGGCTCGGGGTTCAGCCTCGAGTCGGGTCGGCAGCTCGTATGATCCTCCGCTCGCTCGAATTATGTCGTCGGTCACCAAACACAAAAAACACCTGGACTTCAGAATTAAACTTGGTGTTGTCATTATTGTTTTTAAAATAGATCCAGCCACCGCTCCGCGTTCCGAGAAATTGCAAATGGTGGACCGATGAAAAGTTTCTGAGAGCCAATGACTCCTCCCCCTGACCAATCGGTGTCCTGCATTCACGTTTCGGTCCGGAATCAGCTCGACTGGGCGTGTTTTTGTTCTATGGGAGGAAACCGGAGTACCCGGAGAAAACCCACGCAAGCACGAGAAGATGCTAACTCCACACAGAAAGACCTCAGGTCCAACTGGGGATTGAACCCAGGACCTTCTTACTGTGAGACAACAGCGCTAACCACTGAGCCGTCGTGCTGCCAGAACATATTTACATTATAATGTAAAGAAGCTGAAACAATACTGTAACATAAATGTCAGTTTGTGATTTAAAGTTTTAGGACTTGTGTTCTTATGCTACGTTCACAAGCTTCAAATTGACCTTTATATGTCTAAGCTGTTGCTGCATTAATTAAATAATTAATTAATAATTATTGCATCTCAATTACAACGAAACAACAACAGAAAATAGCTGTATTGTTTGTTCACAACAGTGTCTTAAGTTCTATTTATTTATTTATTTTGTTCCAATAAACCTTGATTGACAGTGAGCAGAATAAAATGATGTTGCCGCCCGGTGAAAATGTCGTGCAGTGATCTACCGGAGTGGCTCGTTTCACTTTTCTCTGCTTTTTAATCGATTAATGTTTTGTTTACGTTCAATACAGTTTGGCATGATTGTTTTCGTGCCAGGTTGGACCTTGTGTACTGGTTCTGATAGTGAGTTGTTGAAAATCTTTCTGACTTGCGCTGCGGTAGCTCGGCGGTCAGTGCTGCGGTCTTATGATTCGGAGGCTGTGGGTTCGAGCCCAGATTGCATCAGGAAGAGCCTCCGGTGGGAAACAATAGACACATCTTTGCTGTGGCCTCCCCTACAGAAGGAAGCAGCCAAAACAAAAGAGCCCGAACGTTTGTTGGTTTTTCAGTAAACTGTAGGTCGGTGGCGTTTATTTTGTTGAGCAGCTGGTGCAACGGTTTTCAACTTTTAGCTTCAGAGCTGCTCTCATCACACCCAGCCGGGCTTTTATCAGTTGTTTTCTCTCTTTAAGCCACCAACTGATTTAACTAACTAAAACTAACTGCATGTATTTGCACATAAGTGTTCTTTTTGCCACTCATAGGAAAAAATGCAACTTTTTTAAAAATTTTTTAAGGATTTTAGGTTTGTCAAAAAGTTAGTTTTCTCGGTTTGACTGCGTAATCAGATGTACTGTAATATTTCCTATTTGTTCGCCTTAGTATCCGAAGTCAACCACAACCTCCAGTCTTCAACTTATTTTTTACTTTTAAGATTTCTCACATTATTGTTTCTAATACAATAAAATCTACTTTATTATTATTATTATTATTATTGTAATTCTCTAATAAACACTTCTGTATTTTGTATCTTGTTTCGTCATTGTACCCGTTTTGACCTTCAGATGTTTTAATTTAAAAAGCCAGTCTGGATAGCAGTAAGGAGGGCTGTTAATTTAAACTATAAAACATTTATTTGACTGTTCCATCATTTTACAGGAAAAAGGTGTCCGGTGACTACGAAGCCCTAAACGATCGCCTCGAAACTCTCCCAGATCAATTGTCTTATGACATCATGGTGAGTGCTGACTCTGAATTTTTTTTTTTTGTTTATTCTACTTTCATGCTGACTTCTTTTCCCCGCCTGCTTTATTTGACCCACTTTTTTTGTTCTTTTATTTCCTTTCACCATCTATACTGTGAGCAGGTGCCGTTTGGCCCCTTGGCCTTCATGCCCGGGAAGCTCGTGCACACCAACGAGGTGACGGTGCTGCTGGGCGACAACTGGTTCGCCAAGTGCTCCGCCAAGCAGGCTCGAGAAATCATCGCTCACAGGATGAGCTGTGAGTGTGTTTCCTGTCTGAACTGGTTTCCGGGTGTAACTTTAAAATGAATCGTTCAGTGCTGCTGTTCGTCCAGCAGAGGGCGCTGTTGCTTCATGCCAGGTAGCTGAGGGGACACACTGATGTGATTTACTCCCCCAAGTTTGAGAAAGCGTCTGCTTTTACCTGCAACAGAGAGCTGCTGTTTGCAGTATTTGTTTTATGTCACATGAAGGATGATTCATTTCACAAGTGGTCCAACAAGTGGAGGCTGCGTCTCTTTTGGAGTTTACCACTTTGCCTTTATTGTAAACATTTACGCACCACGTTCAGATAAGTTCCTGCCGTGTGGTCACACCTGTCGATACGTTAGTTCCATTTACCGTATTTATTGTTTTTGTTCTACGTCTGAAAACCTCATAAGTCAGATGGGCTGATGTGAACATTATTAGAATGTTTAGTGAAGCAGAAATGCGCTGCCCCCCCCCCCCCCTCCTCTGCCCTGCTCCCCCCCCCCCCCCAGACCCTGCTATTACAGAGCTAAGTGCTGTAATACAAACATAGCTAGCTGAAATGTGTCAGACAGCGGCTGAGTTGTCAGGCCTTCTGTGTTTGACCTTTCCTCACTTCCAGTTGATGCACTGACTGGAGGGGCTCCCGATCGCCATGGCAACAAGGGCCCTCTGCTGCTATTAGTGAAAGGGCTTAATTGTTGTGAAGATTTAATGATCCGGAGTAGTATTCAGGGCAGAAGATATTATGAACTGTTCATGTCATCATGTATTTATTTATTTATTTTCCTTCTGTCTTTTCAACTTGTTTAGGATTTTAACTCTTTGGCAGCTTCTCGTCATTACATCAAATGTTTTATTCATGCGTCGGTATTTTGCCGGCTGCCAGTTTTTGCACGTTCGTCACTCAGCCTTCCTGCGTGCTAGTTCTCACAAAAACGCATCTTGTTCTCCTACAGACGTAAGGAAGGAATTGGATGACCTGTCCAAGACGAGGAAAACCTTTGAAGCGAGAGTTGGCTTCACGAAGGATTTGGAAACCCTGTCGGGCGTACGTCACATTGCCGCGAGTTCCCTCACACATAAAAGGTCTTGCGCAACACATAAAGAGGAGCAAATTCTTTGATTTCTTTTTAATTTAGAGCAAAGGCGACTACGTCGACATTCGAGAGGAGGTCGGAAACAATGACTCCGCTGCCACAAAAGGTATCTCTGTCAGCTTTTCTTTTGACCTCGTTTCACTTCATCGCGGCTTAAGCGTGGTTCTTTCTGTTCTCAATGCTTACACAGGAAAGCAAAGAATAGCTCACAAACCGAACTCTAAGCCCAAGATTGATGCAGCGTTTGATCTAAAAGAGGAGGACGAGGAGAACGATGAAGAGACCGGAGGCAGCGGCACCAAAAGAGGCACCCTGATTGAGGAGGAGTTGTGGGCCAGGTTGGATGAACTTGAGAAGCTGGAGGAGCTCCAAGATGAGCAGGACAGGTAGAGTCGGTTATTTTTCCTGCCAGCTTCATTAAGGACAACGCTGATCCGTCCTTAATGTCTTCAGGTTGTCTGATAACATGACCGCTGAGGACTCGTCGTCCTCTTCATCGGAGGAGGAGAAGGAGGCGGACGACGCCCCTCCGGTAAACGGCCTGAGTTTGACGCCAAGCTGGAGCGCCGCGCCTCCTAGCAAACCGCCACTCACCGAGCGGAGAGAGGAAGAGGAGGAGGAAGGCCACCGTTTGCCCACAATTTTCTTTTCTCACACAGTCGAGCCCAAGAAGGTCAGTGTTCGTTTAAAAAAAAACGCGACAGGTTGAGCGATAAATGTTTCTCCTTCACGCCGTCTCCGCTTCATTTGCTTTAGGTGAGAATCAACACGGGAAGAAACACGACGCTGAAGTTCAGCGAAAGGAAAGAGCAGAAGGAGCATTCGAAGCGGAACAAGAAAAATGGCCACAGCAACGGACACTCGCTCCATGAACTTCACAAAATTACAACTCCAGTGGATATTTACAGGTAAACATGTAGCGCCTGATGCTGCTGGAGGGAGCGCATGTCATGCAGTATTGATGAAAGATGGAATGGTGCTCAGAGTATGTGTTGACTCGGCTACCTCCACGCTAAGTTTAAGCTCAACGTGTAGAAAAGTGTCAGAGTTTTGGCTGCGAAGGCGATAATCCCTATGCAGCCCGTTTTGCTGCGAAGTCTGGTTGCACTTGATGAAAGCTGACCGTTTGTTCATCCTCAGATTGTTTGTGGACGTAAAGAACGGGGAGCCCGTTCCCAGAAAGTCCATCTTGAAGTCTCGCAGTCGAGAGAACAGCGTGTGCAGCGACACGAGCGAGAGCAGCGCGGCCGACTTCGAGGAGCGCAGAGTGATCGGCCGCAGCTTCAGCCACGACGAGACGCACAGCGACACCAGCGATGGAATCACAGAGGAGGACAGTCCCACGGCCGTACCTCTGCTAATGCCCAGCCGATACGAGGTGTTTAACTGGAGAAATTGCATGTCCTGCGAAAATACAGTGTGAATGGTTATTGCCGGAAAAATTGCTGAAAACAGCTGAAATTAGCTAAAAAAAACATGCTGAGATGTAGCTTAAGTACAAGAACAAGACCTAAGTTAGAAGACAGCAAAGAACGCATATTTGCTGAATTAGGTTTAAATAAGTAGAAATGAGCACAAACATTAGGAAGTTGGCTAAAAAAAAGGCTGAAATTTACAGAGAATAGCTTAAAAAGTAGCTTAAATTACCAGAAGGAATTGGAAGGAACTGACATGAGCTCCATAAATGTGGAATTAGCTGAAAAAGCTAAAATTAGCATAAAAACGCTAAATAGTAGCAGAAAAAGCTGAAACTAGCCAAAAAAAGCTGAAAGGAGCATAAGCTGACATGATCAGAAAGAAGTTAATTAGGCTGAAAGTAGCAGAAATTACCACAAGAAAATGGAATTTATCTGAAAACTGCTCTAATTAGCTAAACATGCTAAAAAAAAAACTAGCGGAAAAGGTAGAAAAAGCTTAAATAAGCAGAAGAAAGCTGAACAAACTTGTCTGCCTATTTTGGCTGAAAGAAGCTGGAATGAACACGAAAAGTGGAACTTATCTGAAATAAGCTGAAATTAGCAAAAAACAGCTGAAAAGTATGTAGCTAATAAAACAGAAAGAAGCTGAAATTACCAGAAGGAAGTGGAGAGAGCACATTTTTGCTGAATTACGCTGAAAAAAAGTTAAAATGGGTGCAAAAATGTGGAGTTCGCAGTTTAGCAGAAAACGGCTAAATAGTAGCTAAAATAGCAAGAAAAGCTGAAATTTGCATAAATAAGCTGAAAGGAGCATAACAAGCTGAAATTAGTAGAAAGGAGTTAGAAGAAGCACAAAAACGATGTAGTTGGTGAAAAATATTAGCTGAAAAAAGTTTGCATTTGCACAAGGAAGCTGAAAGAAGCTGAACCAGAACAAAATGTGAAAGGAGCAGTAAAAGGTTGTAAACAGATCTATGAGGGAAAAAGTGGCAGAAAAGGCTAAATGTTTCAAAAAGCTAACGTTGCACCAATACCAAAAATCATAGCAGGATTGTCCTGAAAGAGCTGAATGTTTTTGATGTACGATTTATTGAAATAGCACAAAATTGGTGGAATGAGAAAGATGTTGAAAAACGTACAGAAGAAAAATGGATTCCAACAGTGTGAATGCTTCATAAACATTCACACTGTTGTTGAAGACCTAGCATCCTTCGAAGGAATCCGTATCACCTGAAGTCGTTCCTGCCAGAGTTTCAGAGTAAGATCATCTTGTGTGAAGGAATGACAGAGCTGTAGTCGTTTTGGTCAAACCTTAAAAATAACGTGAAAAACCTCGTAATATTGCGAGAGGTCTCGTTCCGAGTACGTGTTGCAGTCGTCTGTCAGCTTCGTCAAGTTTTAGTTTAATATCTAAAAGTGTAGGAGTTGTAGCCATCTCTGTGTTGGCTAACGTCAAGTAGCTGTGGCAGCCAAGTGAAAATGGAATGACTCCACAAGTTAGAGTTGTAGCTGTACATCCACTGTTCTCTAAAAGCTTCATTAAAATCTGTTGCTACATCAGATATTTTGCTAACAGACAGTGTTGACTCCAACAGTTAGTTACTGCTCAATTTGGCAAAGATCTCATGCAACAAATAACACTTTGAGTATGTTTTGTAAGTGACTCACAAAAACACCAAATTTTATTATAATTTTTAAAAGACAGAATTATAGCTATTTTTTAGTTTTCTAAGATCTGTGGCTGTGGCAGTCATTTTTAATTGGGTTGACTCCAAAACATAATAGACTTCCATCCATTGGTTATTTCTTGAAAGTTTCATTAAAGTCCATCCAGTGGTCCATGAGATATTTTGCTAACAGACAGCCTTTTTGCAGCAGGTGATTGGTAACCCCATGAAGTCATAAATATAAAACCTGTAGAAACTTGTGGCATGTTGTGATGAAAACCAACATTAGGTATCATCTCTGTATCTTCAGGCTTTTTCAGGGACAGTGATAGAAAAAGACCCGATGCCATCAGGTGTCCCCCACCTGACCATCGTCCCACCAGCTCTGCCCACGATACTGGAGAGGAAACAGGAGGAAGTGGCCCCCGATGTGGCTCCGCCTCAGCAGGCACCTAAAAGGGTGTCAAAGTTCAAAGCTGCCAGGCTGCAGCAGAAGTGATGATTAAGAAGTCGTTTTTACCTGCAGACTTTTTGACTCGTCTTTATTACAAAGTCTGGGAGAATAAAAATCTTCCCGTTGTGCTCGTTAAGCTGTTCGTCATCACTTTGCTTTTTTTACAGCTCGCTGTTTCCAGGTGAGATGAGTCTGTAGGGTGGAACAGAAGATGCATTGTTTGTTTTTTTCCTTTCCAAGTAGATGCTATTTTTAAAAATCGGTCGTTTCCCTTTTTTCTTACCTACCTATTGAATGTATGTATTTTTCTGTGACGAGCTTTATGTAAAGAAAAAAAAACTATTGATATAACAAATAAAGAAGTGAATTTAACCTCAGTTTATCCTTTGGTCCTGGTGTAAAGAAAAAGTTTCCCTTGATCAGAATGGAAGGTCGCTGGTTCAACTCCTGGTACAGACCACGTCAAAATGTGGGTGGAAAAGGTGAAATGCCCACACCTGCCTCCACCCACATTTGCCCCACACTGGACCCTTGAGCAAGGCACTGAACCCCCACCATCTATTCTCCTGGACTCCCTATAGCAGCTGTCTGCTCCACTCAGTGGTCTTTGTGCAGCTTAGTTATATAAATATATATAATATGTGTGTAATATTTATTTATTTAGTCGTGTTTGAAAGTTTGTGAAGCTTTTATAATTTTCTATATTTCTGCATAAGTATGACCTAATGCATCATCAGCTCCTCACACAAGTCCTAAAAGTAGATAAAGAGAACCCAGTTAAACAAATGAGACAACAATATTATACTTGGTCATTTATTTATTCAGGAAAATGATCAAATATTACAAACAAAATTCAGTATAAGATTTAGTTTTATTATTTTGACATGAAATGTTTTAGGATGCATTCTTTGAAGGAATGTTAGGCCTTAAATTGTGTTTCCGAATTTCTTGACAACGTAGTAAAATGATATTTGAGCTGTATCATTCTGCGTATAATCAATAGTTTATCAAAGCTGAACACAAAGTGTCGTCTTCAGTTTGTTCAAACTCAAAGTGGTCCTTATTGTGGGGGAGTTGAAGACGAGTGAATTAACACAACACGATAATCCACTGAAAAATAAAAAGTCCTACTGGTGAGCACAACTATTTTTGGAAAAAATATGTCGTATATCATGAGCCCCTTTTGGGATTTGGCAAAAAAAAAAAAAAACTGAATTAATTTTGTTTGTGAAAATATTAAGTCTAGTCTTTGACGTTAGGTATATTTAAATAACAGGATGGCAGCACAGTTGGTAGAGCTGCTGCCTCTCAGCGAGCAGGTCCCTGGTTCCAATCCCGGTCTGGGGGTCTTTCTGGGTGGAGTTTGCATGTTCTCTCCGTGCATGCGTGGGTTTTCTCCAGGTACTTCCGGTTTCCTCCCACAGACCCAAAACATGCATGATGGGCTGATTAGGGACTCTAAATTGTCTCTAGGTGCGAGTGAGAGAGTGAATGGTTGTTTGTCTCTAGGTGTCCCTGTGATGGACTGAAGACCTGTCCACAGTGTCCCCTGCCTCTCTGACAGTGATGGATGGACATGTGACCCACGTGACCCCAAAAAGGAAGAAGTAGGTAAAAGATGACGGATGGGTGGACTTTTCCTCAGACGCCTGTTGCGAGTGTTCTTTGAGCTGGGGGGGTCATCATGTCTCCTTGTTAGCCAAAACGTTTTCTGGGAGCTGATGGTTTACAGTTTTCTGTGAGTGACTGCCAGTTTGTCCTGGGCTATTCCTGATCTAGTTCATTTTCCACTCCTCGTTTATTCCTGAGCACACAGACATGTTTACTCTGATCATTTTTGTTAGAAGAAAGTAGAAGGAAGAGCTTTTCTCACTCTAAGACTCATGTTCTTCGCTTGAAGTCTAAGCCGGCTGAATGTGCCCATGGCCGGCACATCTTCTCATCAGCTGTCGTCCTCACTTTCAGCTACTTTGGGCAGTTCCTGGTGAGTCGTCCTGGTCTGATCCACCAGCAGAACCCCAGAAAGACGAGTGAACTTGTGCCGTCCACACTGGCCCAGTAAGGAGCAGAAACCTGACAATGAAATTCTTGTTCTGCTCCTTTAGCTGATGCAACTTGATCAATCATTTGTTTTTGCTTGCAGAGCCAATAAATGACTTATCTGGTCACATTAAGTAACTTCTTTGAACCAAAACCCAAAGCAAACTATTAAAATAGTCAAACTTTGTCTAAATTTGTGCGCGTATAAAACTCAAAATAATTCCTGCTCAAAGAGTTCATTTTGCCTCAGATAAGAGAATTAATCCTTAACAGATTAATTGTTCATTATTGATTTACTACTTTTAAAACCAGCTATTCTACACATTATTATCCTTTATCACTAATGTTAGTTTATTATCGTTGATTCTTAGTTTGATATTTTTGTAAAAAAAAAAAAAAAAAAACCTTCAAAGACAACTTTGCTCTCTTCATTTGAATATTCATGTCCTGGTATAGAACTCCCTGTACTTAACGGATTCTGCTTCAGTGACTGAGATCTGATTATTAAAAGGTGAATTTATTAAATAAGTTTTGTTGGTCAGTACCAGGGGGCAGCACGGTGGCGCAACTGGTAGAGCTGCTGCCTCTCAGCGAGAAGGTCCTTGGTTCAAACCCCGGTCCAGGGGCCTTTCTGGGTGGAGTTTGCATGTTCTCTCCGTGCATGCGTGGGTTTTCTCCAGGTACTTCCGGTTTCCTCCCACAGACCAAAAATATGCATGTTAGGCTGATTGATAACTCTGAATTGTCCCTAGGTGTGATTGAGAGAGTGAATGGTTGTTTGTCTTGTTTGTCTCTATGTGGCCCTGTGATGGACTTGCGACCCGTCCAGGGTGTACCCCGTCCCTCGCACAGTGATTGCTGGACATGGGCACCAGTGACCCCCGTGACCCAAAATGGAATAAGCGGGTAAAGAAAATGGATGGATGGATGGGTCAGTACCAGCTGGTGTTCTGCTTTAACGAGTGCACAATAAGTAAACGGGTGAAATGAGGAGAAAGTTCTTCCTCCATCACTTCGTTTAGAGTCCCAGAGAACACAGAACGGCTGCAAAAATGTAGTCGGCTTCAGAAATCCCATTTATCAACAGCAGATAAAAGCTTTTCTCGAAGGTTTACAGCATAAACATTATTTTTATTATTTTTGTAGTGACTGAAGAAAATAAGTTTAATGGTAAATCTTTCCATTTTGCCACAAACGTGTTTTAATGATGCTGATTTCACCATCTCTGAGTCATTCGAGGCAGCAACGGGCCACAATGTCACAAACCCTCCACCGTATTTTACCTCAGGCAGAATTAATCTTTTTTTTTTTTAATTGTTGCTCATGAGCTTTTTAACGGCAAATAAATATCTGACCACATTCCCAAAGCTGTGATTTATTTCACTGCAGATTGTTTCACGAGCACTGAGCTTACGTTTTCACTTTTTCCTCTTGTGTCCGAGTTTCAGTCGAGGTATTTGTTTTACATTTTATTGATAAAGAGTCACTCGGTTCAATGTTCAGATTCAGAAACTTTAGATGTCCACTCCGGTGTTTCTCCTATAATCTGCAGTCTGGACGCATCTGATCAGTGGGATGACAGTAACTTCCTGATAACATTACAAACGGATGAATTAGCGATTTCAAAACCTTTGCCTTGTGGCTGTTGGAAGTAGTTTGCTTGTAAATGAGTGTTTCTAATGGGGAAACAATCATTTATGACAGTTCAGGCCAAATAAAACAGAATTAAACTTCTTCTCTTCTTAAATGAAAAAAACAAACCTTTATGTTTGGTGCACATTTTATACCTGGCAACACCACACAAGCATAAAGGAAGGCACTGCTGTCAGGGTAAAAGTTTACGGATGTGTATCACTAACTAATGTTAAAATTAATGTTGAACCGTGTGTGTGAAGTGTGTGAGGTCAGAGAGTTCTTTTGTCTGCTCAGAGAGGAGCTGCTTTGAGCCGACGTATACAGCTGGCAGACCAAGTGACTGTCTGATGAGCATTATAAAAACACTTCCTGCTCACTGTCCGGTGCAGATATTCATGACCGGGAGCCAAGCATATAACTTCGCCTGTTGTGAACTCTGCCCTGCAAGTAAAAGACTGGTTAAAAATCATCTCGTGTCCTCAGAGTGGCTTATTTGAGTAAGTAGATAATGATAAGATATTTATGTGACCTGAGATACAATCACTGTTTACTATAGTGAGAGGTAGGAGAACCTCAAATTCACCTTTCTTTACACAGATATGTTTGTAAGAATTAATAGAGACATTGCTTGCAAGAGTGTACTCACAATAAAATCTTAAGTATTATATCATACAAGATAAAAACAAGAAAGCTAAAACAGTGGACTATGCTGGCCCTGGGAACCTCTTAGCTTTAACCTATGTGAATAATTAGACTGCTTGGAGGAGGAATAAAGAGCAAAATAAATAAATACACCTAGGTGTTCCCCAACAGAAACACACTCGCACAAAAGCCCTGATGAACACAATAAAGGAATAAAACTCCCGTTGCACTAGTCTCTTCAGTCTAATAAAAACAGCTTTGAACCCAGGGACAGCATAGGTCCCCTTTAAAATAATCCAGACGGCTGAACACTAGGGTTTCCAGAAATCCAGAATTTAATTCAAAATCCTACTTCTAACCTACAAAGCTCTCAACAGCCTAGCTCCATCTTATATTACAGATCTTATTGACAATATTTTTCTAACAGAGCACTTTGCTCTCAGACTGCAGGTTTACCCGCGGTTCCTAGAGTTTCCAAAAGCAGAATGGGAGGCAGAGCTTTCAGTTATCAGGCCCCTCTCTTGTGAACTAACTTCCAGTTTCTGTTTGTGAGGCTGACACATTGTCCAGTTTTAAGACTTTCCTTTTTGATAAATCCTATAGTTAGGGTCAGCTTGGGTTTCCTGAGCTGACCCTTAGTTATGCAGCTATAGGCTTAGACTGCTGGAGGACAAACTGACCACATTTCTTCACTCTTCTACTGCCTGTACTTACTCTGCTCAACCTATTTTGTATTATTTTTTTTCCATCCTTGACATGTGTTTTTTGTCTTTCAGGTACATCTGGACCTACATCTGGACCTGCCATTCTGTGTTTGTTTGTCTCTACTTCCTGTCTTCTCAAACCTAGCTGGTCAAAGCAGATGGCCGCTTGTCTTGAACTGGTTCTGCTGGAGGTTTCTTCCTTTTAAAAGAGAGTTTTTCCTTTCCACTGTTGCCATTGTGCTCGCTCAGGATGGGAGACTGCGACGAAGTGAAGATCCGACGAAGTGAAGAT